GGTCCTGCCCTGGTACCTGGTGTGCGAGCATCACCTTGTCGGGCGTGGCCATTGCAGCAGGAGTGGGATGGGGCGCACAGAGCCAGCTGCCTCCCTCCTGGGGCTGCCCCACCACCTGCATGTGACTGCCAGCGGCGAGGAGCCAAGGCCCGGCAGCCAACCTGCCAGGCCACAGCCTGATGGTTGGGAACCCCTGATCTATGGACCAGGGCTGGGCTGCGCCAGCAGAGAGAGGGGAGCTAGCTCCATAGAGCACCTGTCGGCTGGGACACTGTGCTCCTGCCACCCCACTCTGGGCCCCACCAGCGCCGCTCTGCATTCTTGTCTGGCTGCTGCTGGCTTCCGTGCACCAGCTCACTCCAATTCCCACCTGACCCAGCCCTGCGGTACAGGTGAGGATGAGCATAAGCAGCCCCTGTGCACCCTGCACTTGCCCATCTGTGCTGAGCAGCAAAGGCAGGGAACAAACTGCTGCTCAGCGCGGGGCAAAAGCAGCCCTCCCCCCTGTGGCCAGTGCTCCCTGCTGCAGCTGCCTAGAGCCCATGTGGGGATGTCTTGCCCCTCCGTCTGCCGCCCTGTGGGGTAGCGGTGGCAATGAAGAGCAAGCAGAGGCAGCGGGAGGGGGAGGTGCCACTTTTCTCCCATGCTGAGCAGCAGTTTGTTCCCTCCCACTGCTGCTGAGCCTGGGCCCCGCATTGGACCCCAGTTCACCTGTTAGGCTGAGCAGCAACAGCCATTGGGTACAAACTGCTTCTCATTGTGGAGGAAAGCGCCGCCCCCCCTTGCTGCTGCCAGGCAGTGTTTGCTACAGCTGCGCTGGGCAGGACAGAGCTGGCGGTGAAGGAGCCACACCACAGCCTAGCGCAGCACAGACTCTGGGCAGGCAGCCATGGCAAACATTGCGGGGGGGCAGGGCCAGGTGGGCCTTTTTATTGCATGAGCCTGCTGTGGCTTCCCCTGGGTCCTACCGCCCCCAGCTCCTGTCATTTTGACAGGCAGCTGGGGCAGATAAATATAATTTTCTAGATTTTTTAGGGGCCCCGTAGACTGGATAGAATGGCCTGGCAGGCTGGATTCGGCCTGCAGGCTGTAGTTTGCCTACCCCTGGACTAGAGTATGGGCTGGGCAGGAGCTGCAGGACCACTAGGGGGTGTCATGGCCACCCCTGTAGCCCTGAGACCTGTCACACCCTTCTTAGTGAGTCACCCTCCCCCAGCGCCGGAGGGGGGCAGAGTTCTCATGGCTTTGATACTCCTGCTATTCCTGTAGTTTAAAACACTTTTCAGTGTCCCATCTTGCAGGGCTTCTCTGTCCTTCACAAAGATGTGGAAAGAACAGATGACCCATTTTATCAACCCTTTAGCCAGTCACTCTCAAGCCCACACTGGGGTTTTGCTTAAAGTTGACAGGCCGTGAACTGGTGGACATTGGTCTCTAGAGTGCCAAAGCCAGTGGGCCTAGTGCCCTTCAGTGCTTCCCCAGTACAAGTAATAATGGGGGCAGAACTGGTGTCAGTGATGGGCTTCCTGCCCTGGACATCTTGTGCTAGAAAATAAGGCAAGACAGAGAGCAAGGGCTGATTCCAGAAGAGTGAGGTGGCCATGGCTCGATCACACCACTTCTGGGTCCTGGTTCTGTAGGCCAAGGGCCCAATTCCCAGGCATTTCTAGTTCCTTCTTCCCCAGGAAGAGCTTACCCAGCATCCAGGCTGGCCCATGTTTCTAAAACCTTTGTGTTATATTTGTAACTGTTACTGGTTTCGCTGCTGGATCCCCTCGCTTGCTCCCACACACCTTGGCCTCTTCCACAGCTGCCTGCATAGGCTCCTGTTAGTTTATGGGGCCATTCCAGGGCAAAGAGCCGACAAAATAGATAATAAGATGATTTCTTCCTGACCGAGATAATGGAGACTGCACAAAGGGAATGAGATAAAAGGAACTGAGTGCAGACAGGACTTCTGGCCTCTGCTCCCTCATGCTGTGTGCCATGTTCCCAGAGTGTCTGCTTTTACCAGGCTGAAAGATGAGGGCTCAGAGCTGGATCAAGAGCCAGTGTCAGTGTCCTTGTGTGTGCTCCACCCTCATTGATTACAGGGCTGTATTGATAATAGGCCTGATTTTTGGCAGCAGTGGCCTGCGAGTAGTTTGCAGGTCATTGGAGCTCTGGGGATGCTGCAGGGGTGTAGAGACAGCCCACCCAGCATACTGATGCTAGGGTCCTGGGAACTTTGAGTCACTGTGTTAATGCTATAGGGTGCACACATCTGTCCTTGCTGAGCAGTAGGGTGGATTGTGCCAAGCGGGGGGACTGGGAGGTGTAGATTGCACATGGAGTAGGCAGATGACCAGTCACAAGATTCTCCAGCACTCACTTTTTACACCAGGAGCCAGATAGAAAGTACTTCCCTGAGGAGAGTGTAGCTTGGGTGGGCATAATACGGTCTGTGGGCCTCATCTGGCCCACGGAGAAACTGTCCAGCCTGCGGTGAGTCCCTTGGTTTTGCCTAGCCCAAGCACTATCTGGCCCGTGTTGTGTCCCATTGCCCCCTGGGCACACAGTGGGGTGTGGTGGCTCCACAGCTGGACTTCCTTTCTGGCTGCTGCTGCCTGTGGCCCCGGCCACCTGGTACTGGCAGGGACATGCATGCACAGCCCTGTCCCTGGCCCACCCTGTGCCTGCTCCAGACTCACCCCGGTGAAGCAGACCGGCTCTGGACCAGCTGGAACCCGTGTATGCAGCCCTGCCCCTGGCCTGCCCCATGCCTGTGTCAGACTTTCCTGCCCATGCTGAGCAGAGGCAGCAATGGCGGTGGCCAGGCAGAAGCTGCTGCTAGGCCCAGGAGAAAAACAGCCCATCCCCCACGCTGCTGCCAGGTCCTTCTTGCTGTTGTTGCCCAGAGCCCACCAGGCTGCCCTGCGGCTCTTCTGCACTGCCACCACTACCCTTCTGAGTGGCCCGAAGGTGGTCCTGATGACGGCCTCAGGGCAACCACAGCATGGGCTCTGGGCAACTGCAGCAAGAAGAGCCCGGCAGTGGTGAGGGGGAGGCGGCCGCTTTTCCCCCCACGTCGAGCAGCAGCTTCTTCCCTGCTGCTGCTCAGCATGGGCGGATGGACTGGGGATGGGGCTGCGTAGGTTCCAGCTGTTCCACTCCAACCAGGACGAGTCTGGAGTAGGCATGGGGTGGGCTGGGGCTGGGACTAATGCTGTGATTGGTGGTGGTGGGAAGAAAGTGCTGACTGGCCCACAACGGATCCCCAGAACTGCCTATGTGGCCCATGGGCCCAAATAATTGCCCATCCCTGGTGTAGCTGTTGTTGGGGCCCCTCTCCTCATGGCCATCTGGGCTGCTGCCAGCAAGGGAGCTCCCGGAAGACTCCGCTCCAGGACAGGCCCAAATCCTGTTCCTACCCTGACTTGCTGTATGCCGCCAGGTGTCTCCTCTGGCCTTCTGTAGCTTCTGTTCTTGCCTTCCCTCACTCAGACTTTTGGGGCCTGCTGCCTTCGGATAGGTCCTGCTGCAGCGGGGCAGGGTTCCCACCTGAAAATAATGCGTGGGGGTCTAAGGAGTGACCCCCAATTTCCCCCTGCCTGCCTCTAGCCTCTTGGGAGGAGGCTTGGGGAGTGCCCATTTGTGGGTGCTGTTACCATGGAGGAGGTGCAGTGGCTCTGGCATGGTGGAATTCAGCTCTGTGAGTGCAGGGCCCCTGCAGTTGGGGCATGAGTGCAGTGATATCTGAGTGCCAGTGCATTTATTGCCCCAAGTTTGTACCCTGCCAGGAGAGTAGAGTCTGCTCCCTTTCCCATAGCATGCACAGGACTGGCTGCTCCGTATAAGTCCGTATAGCACAGGCCAGGCACAGTCACAGTCACTCCTGCCTGTAACTGCATCTCAGTCTTTACCTTCCCTAGTTTCATATTGTCACTGTGGGGGGTGGACTGGGTGCCAGCCTAGGCAACAGGATTCCCTTACTCCTACCCCCACCAGTGTAGTGAAGGAAGCTTGTTAAATATAAAGCAAAGTGCAGAGGAGCAAGTCTTGGTCACTTAAAGACCAAGCTGGTGACTGTGGGAAGACTTGAGCCTGGTCCAGGGAGCTGTGTGTGTTGCTGTTCTTGTGCCTAGTGGACATGCCCCTTGCTTGGCCCTTTGGGAGCTGTGGCAAAAGGCTTGCTCCTCTGTTGGTTGGGGAGGAGCCCAGGTCCCCAAGGCTCCTCTCTTGCCTTGGAGACCATGAATCCAGATGTAACTCGGGCTCCAAAGCACCTATGCATTTTGTTGCCAAATGCCTAGGTCATTTAAGAGGAACCTGTCCCCCTTTAACCACATATGGTCAGTAAGACAAGCCATGGTGACTCTGATTCTAAGCACCCTGTCCCCACTGGCCACGTCTGGAGTACTGCAGGGGCTGGAGGGCTGGCTGCTCCTCTGTAGAGTAGATGGCAGGAGCCAGCACCTCCTAGCTAGTAGAAAGCAACAGGACTGGGGCCCCTTGGAGTTGCCTGCAGAGCCCGTCCTCGGTGGGGGAAATGACTGTGACAAAGAGTTACAAAGAGCCTGTGTTGCTCCAGATTCCTGGGTTGAGTTTTCTGTGTTGCATCTCTGGAAGCTCTGGCTTTTGTGCCACTGCACCAAAGCAGCAGTGTGGGCCCTGAAGACTGGCTCATTGGTAAGGTCTGACTAGCCTGCTCTCCCTGCTGTTCACTTACAGTAGGATTTGTCGAAGGGGTGGGGAAGACATTGTTCTTCAGGAAGAAGTAGAAATGATGTGATGGGGGGGGCTGGGGGGGGGGGGGGGAATGTATGGAGGAGGGGCTCCTT